AGAAAAGAAAGTTCAAGGGCAAGGCTACCTGGACTTCTGCAGAAGCCCTAGCACATGGACCAACACAGGTCCCTCCTCTGACTGCACATGAAGTACCATTTTTTGAGGCATGGTTGATGGAGAAAACCCTGAAGGATTCCCTTGATCCTAATACTCAAGTAAAGGATCACGCTGGAGAGCCCTCTGATGCAGCTGCAACCTTTGCTCTACTAATTGCAGAATGGCGAAAAGCTCAGCTTAATAATTTTGAGGTAATAGTTCCTTCACCCCTTCCTTCTCCTCAACATCATGTTCCCACCCCACCTGCCTCACCTATTGCTGATATTCCATCCCCTCCAAAGGAGACCACACCCATTCCCTCTCCTCACACTTCACCCATTTTACCACATCCCTCTGTCTCACCTCAACAGAAACCCTCTTCCAAACCATCCTCTCCTAAATCAAAATCTCTTACCCCACAACAAAACACCCCTTCTCACCAAAAATCACCAACTCAGAAACCCAAATCTCCTTCACCTTGCAAACATATCATCCCTACACGGAACAGATCATCATCACCTCCTCCATCTCCCCAGCATCAACTTACCAAACCCCATCTCAATACTCAGCAGAAAACCCCCATCTCACCGCACTGTTCTCATCAACAGAAGATCACATCTGCTGCCCCTCCTCAACAGAAGCCCACTGCTCCTCAAACTCATATCTTGGAGATTAGCTCTTCTGACCCATCAACCTTTGCTCCTATTCCTGCACCTCAAGGTTACACCAGGCATTCTAATGCCTCTAACCCCCCACTGCATAAAAAGAAACAAGTCAACAAGGATACCTTCCCTCTCTACTCTTCGTATGAAGACTCCTCCACAGATGAAGATCTTCTAGGCTGCACAGGGTTCATCTACAGCAATCCCAATTGTGCAACTTCCAACAGGCAGAAGACCCCTCCTCTGACACAGCTTGAGCATGAAATGCAAGACCAGCTGTGACACCCCGAAAATTTAAATTAAATAAACTAGGTAATTTATAAATCAGATAAAATTTAACATTTGAAAAAAAATGACTTTTTATGGTAAATATGTTAGTCACCAAAAAAAAACGTAAATATGTTAGTCAAACTAAATTGTGACAGAAATGCTAAAGTGATAGCCGATCTTATGTCTACAATAAAATTTAATTACTCACACTTATATTACTATATACGTAGCATATATATATACTATATATATACACAAAAGTACGTGCGGCTGCTCTTTATAATCCATATATATTACCCCGTAATATAGTTACGCACACGCATGCAAAATATACGCATAAGCCGGATTCTAAACGGATCGAGCATCGAAGGAAAAAAAAGGGTTATATAACGGAAAATCTAGAATCATCTATTATTAGGTTATATATATATATATATATATATATATATATATACACACGGTTGATAACCCTGCGTTAAAACACCTTTGAACCCTAAACCTTCGTCGCCGCCATTGAAATCGATATATATATACATAACTTATCGGGCGAACGTCGAACTGCACCAGAACAAACAGACGTCGGCAGCCTGTCTGTTAGGAGCGTAGAACGAAAGAGGAGACCGCCGCCGCGGTAAGGGGTGCCACTGTTTTGGATCTCACCGGAATATTCTGCTGGTTCATCCGGAGAAACCCATTTGTTCGTATTGTACCGCCGGACTACTGAAGAGAGGAGTCGTTGGCCCAGCTTCTGTCTGGACGAAGCGGGAGAGATATCTTCCTGAAAGGGACGTTGCAGAAAGCCTCTGAACTGGTCGCCGTAGAAAGAGCCGCCGGACAAGAAGAAGTTGAACCGTCGAGCCTTTGCTGCCACTGTGTCCACCTGAGTCGCTACCGCAAGGAAAGCTGTCCATTTCCGTCCTTGACTGCTATGTCGGCTGGGACTTTTGCGAGGGATTGACGAGGAAGACGATCACTTATTGGAGTACGTAAACATAACTCTTTGTTTTACGTAGATGTTTTAGAAACCTTTGGACTGGGGATTTTGTTTAAAGGATGGATTGGAGTATCTTATGTGGGCTGGTCAAATGAAAGACTACGTATCATTTAAGTTATAAGTTTGATAGATGTTAATAAAGATAAATTGGCTTAATCGGACTAGTATAGAGATGACTTATTAAGAAATCGTAAGAGGGAAAATTGGCTTAGTAAGTTGATGTTGATTTTAGAATCTTAACATTTTAGAAGGTGAATTTGGAGAAGATCGCGGATAGAAGATTCGGCTAGGATTTATCGCGGTTTGAGGTAAGTTCCACGTCAACCAAAATTATACTTTTTCCTCGTAAATCTATATATGATTATTTATTTGAAATTATTTGAGTACTTTGTGAGATTTCTAGCATTACATGTATACTTCATATTTGAGAATTTGGAATTATTCATGGATTGTTATTGAGAATTATATTTGAGATTTTAGTATTGGATATTGGATGATATTTTCGAGTGTTTGAGTTATCATATGAAATGTTGTAGGGGTTATATTTGAGATCTGAACTATTTATGAAATATTCTATATTTTGGCTCTTTCGTGAGATTTTAATGTATAATACATTTGAGTGTAATTTGTTGGAGTTAATATTTTACATTGTGGATTATCTTGTGGAGTTTGGATTTTGTATCCGTTTTGGTTGAGGTTGTGATATTGGTTTGGAACTTTGAGAATGAATTGTGATTTTTGGTGAGCACCCGGAGAAATCCGTGGTGTCGGTTTGCCACATCCGGATAAATGTGGTATTGGTGAGTGGTAATGGCTATAAGTCTAAATCCACCAGGGGTACTTCCCAAAAGCGGAGTATCCCAGCTTAATTGTAGTGTAGTTGGTAGAAAAATCCCGACTACTCGAGCTTCTTACTTCCCGGAGGGCTTGGAATCCCTTTTAGGGGGTGTGCACACTTAAGGTAGGAGTTCGGCTTCCACTAGCTTTGATTGGGTTTGAGGTGAACTGGACTTTGATTAGATTGAGGTGATTGAGATTATTTGATTGGCTTGATTTGGATTTGTGGTGAATTAAAGTATTGGATTGATTGGAATTGTTGGATTATTGGATTGGATTATATTTGGATTGAGTTGTTAAATTATTTGTGGGTTTTACTTTTGGATTTGATTTGGTTTGATTATGTTGAGTACTCTTTATTATCAGCATTTATAAGTATTTTGAGATATTTGGTGTTTGATTTATGCTTTGGAATTATTGAAATGATTTTTGGTGGTTTTACGTATATTTGGTATTTTTTTGTAATTTTTGTGGTTGGGAAATATTTGCTTATATTTGAGGTACTATTAATTTACTAGTGAATTATGCTATGAGAAGATTTTATAAATTGTTTAAAAAAAAAATTATTTTTCCTCCTAAATGTTTTTCAAAAACATTAAATTTTATTATTTATTATTTTATGGGGTTAGGTGGAACTTACTTAGCATTGTTGCTATTTTTGTTTTCTTTTGTTTTTCTTTCTGTACTTAATTTTGTACAGGTGACGCTTTGATGATGATGTTGATTTCGAGAGAGCTTCCGCTAGAAAACATAGTTAGTAAATCATTGTAATTCCATTTTAAATATCTTTAGTTAGTGAATAATTATTTTTGGAGTTTAAAGTTGTTTTAGCCTGTGCACTCGGTTAAGGGAGAATCGAGTGTGGCGGTAATGCCCCTATTTCCCTTTTGGTTTTCCGCTGCATAACTCTGATGTTTTCGAATAAAGTTAATATTTCTTGTGAATAAAGTATTATTTTTGGGTGGGAAATTTGGGGGTGTTACACCAGCACCTATCCTCTGTACAAGAACATCAGCCACTGCCCAAGGGAAAAGGCTTGGAGATGCCAGGATTTGAAAGTGCAGAACCCCACATTCCTTTTAATCAATTTGTTGCATCTGCCGAAGAATTTGGTGGTTAGATGCTGGATGATATGAACAAGCTAGTTCTAATCAATGACAAGCATTATGAGCATCTCACCCTTGTCAATCACACTCTGGAACTTGGGTTACAACAGCTTACTGAGAAGGTTGCATCTATGACCAGGACCTTAACCTCATGTCAGAATGTCCTTCTTACTCAAGACAAGGTCATTGTGACACTCCTTAAATTTAATAAAAAGAAGTTAATATTAACTAACATGTCATAGCTGCTAATGGTAATATGGGTATTTTCTTAACATATGCTTCGGGGACGAAACATCTTTTAAGGAGGGTAGAATGTGACACCCCGAAAAATTTAAATAAAATAAATAAATTTTACTAGTCAGATAAAATATTATGAAAGTCACATTTTAATAATCAAGTGTATCAGATAAAATATTAACAATTGTGACAACTTTAATCAAATAAAAATGTTTCAACAATAAAAGTGACATGTTATAATAATAATTATATTGATCATATAAGACTTTGACTTAAATAACAAAAGTGACATTTTTGTAACAAGTGGTAACTATACATATAACATAAATAATACAAGTGACCTTTTAGCAATTTTAATTCAAAAGTATCGATTAATATGCGTACAAAAATATACTACTACACGTACTAAATACCACACAAAATAATAATGTTGACTTTTCTAATTTGATAATAATACTCCATAGATAAGTTCAAAACCATCACAAGGATTACGCCTATCCATTTACATATAAGTAATAAAATATGAAATATACAAATATAGGTGTGGTGCATAATAATGAGTAGGTGATAATGTATAGCAATTATAGAGGAGAAGGATACAAAGGAAATCGATGTACCTAGACATGGGCATGATCGGATGAGGCCAAAAAAAAAAATACAGAAGTTTGATTAGCTAAGCATTTACACATCCGGTTACAAATTCACATGGGTGATCGAATAAGTTTGAATCAAAAGCGTCGGTGCAATGTACTCGACCTCTTTAAACAATAATTGACTAAAACGTCATATGGCTGAAATTAAAGCATAGCTTCCTGATGACTCCTATATATACATGCGTCTTATACCCATTGACATGCAAAGAAAATAAAAACAAAAGAAAGAGAGGAAGAGAGTGAGAGTGAGGGTGTGAGTCGGCCGTCGCAAGGAAGAGAGGAAGTTCGCCGGCGAAAGGACCTCGGCGGCATCGCCGCTCCTTGCCGGAGAAAAAGACCCGGTTGTACGCCGGACTAGTTCACGCCAGAGGAAGTGGAGAAGCTAGAGTTTCTGCCACAGGACCTGACTGCTGCCGCTGAACGTCACAGCAACCCCCCAACCAGTCACCGTGGAGGAGGAGCTCGCCGGAGTGGAAACTCGTCTGCCGGACGGAAGAAGGAAGCTGCCGGCCGCCTGCCACGGTACGACATCGTTATTTTCGCCGGAGTCCGCTGAAACTTCTGTGCGGAGGAGGAGGACATCATATTGTCGCTCGTATTGTCTCTACTCCCTGCATCGCCAGAACTGTTTTTGCGGAGAAGACGACGAAGCGTACGTCTATCTTACTCTATTATACACGTAGTACGTTAATAACTATTGCATGGGCTGGATCTCTTTCATTTAAAATAGTCTGAGCCGACTTCGTAATACCTAACTGGGTTGCTGGATAATATAGGTGGACTCGGTATTAATCTGATTATCAAGCTGGCCGAAATTATTATGGACTAGGCTGTTGATTTAGTTGACCAGAATGATTAATATCAATAATAACACACTGGGCTAGATATATTATTATAACTGCACTACTTCTAAATTTAGTTTAGACCGGACTGAATGTATGGACTGAACGGAGAAGATGACATTTAGTGATAAATAAATTTTGACACAAATTAATGTAAAAATAATAATACTACAAGTTCTGAGAGTTCTCCTAAGTTATAAATTGAATATCATCAATTTAGAGAACCTGATGATACTACGTACTAAAACTTGATGATATTCAAGTTTAGAGAACCTGTCACTTTTAAATCGGGATAATTAAATGGAGTAAAAAAAAAGTATTATTGAAATAAATGAATAATCATAAAAGGAGTAAAATTTAAAACTGGATAATGATTAGCAAAGTGGGATAGTTATTAATTAAAAAAATTTAATATTCTTAGAAGGTGATTTTGGTGAAGATCGAGGTAGAAGCTTCGGTTAGGATTTACTGCAACTCGAGGTAAGTACTATGTCAACCAAGTTTCATGCTTTTCCCATATAAATTTATTTTTGACTAGTTATTTGAGATCATTTGAGTATATGATAGTTAATGAGATTTTACGTATCAATTGTGATTGTGAATTATATATATTCGAGATTTGAGTATTTTTATATTGGGTGATATAACATATGAATTGTTATTGGATTGAGATTTGAGATTTGAGCTATTTATGAAGTATCTTATATTTTGGACTATTTATGGTATATTTGAGTATGATGAGTTGGAGTTAATAATTTCATTATGAATAATTTGGTGGAATTTGGATTTCATATCCATTTTGATTGAGGTTATGATATTGGAACTTTGAGATTGAATTATGATTTTGAGTACTCGGAGAAATGTGGATTTGGTGAGTGGTAATGGCTATAAGTCTAATTCCACCAGGGATCTCCCAAAAGTGGAGCATCCCAGCTTAATTGTAGTAGTCGGTAGAAAAATCCTGACTACTCGGACTTTTTACTACCCGGAGAGCTTGGAATCTCTTTCAGGGGGTGTGCACACTTAAGGTAGGAGTTCGACTTCCATTGGATTGGATTGAGTTTGAATGATTGGATTACGTTTGGATTTAATTGGACTTTGATTCCATTGGTATTGAGGTGACTTGGCTTTGAGGCTTTGAGGTGATTTGGATCATTTGGTTGGACTTGATTGAGGTGAATTGAATTATATTACATTGGATTATTTGAGCGTGTTATATTTTTTTTTTGGATTGGATTGAATTTGAGATGGTTGAGGTTATTAAATTATTTATGGATTTCAAAAGTAATACTTTTGGATTTGATTAAATATAAGTACCTATATTTGGAATATTATTATTATTTTACATGTGATTTGTGATGAGAAGTTTGTATAAATGGTTTTATAAGGTTTCCTCCCAAATGTTTTCACAAAATGATATATGTATCAAACATGATTATTTTACAGGGTTGGGTGGGCCTTACTTAGCATTTCCAGCTAATTTTTGTTTCTTTGGGTTTTTCTTTCTGTACTTTATTTGTGCAGGAATTGAGGATCATGTTGAAGTTGATTTCGAGAGCTTCCGCTAGAACACATAGACTAAAGTGATTTGAGTAATTTATTTTAGTCTTAATTTTAAAGAATTGTAGTTGAACAATTAATTAATTAAAATTTTAATTGTTGGTGGTGGATAAGCCTGTGCACTCGGTTATGAGAGAACCGAGTGTGGCGGTAACGCCCCATTTTCCCTTTGAATTTTCCGCTGCATAATTCTGATAAATCATTATTTAAATGTATTTTTGGGTGGGAAATTTGGGGGTGTTACAGTCATCTCTTCTATAGTCTCTTCTGTTGATCAATTGAAGATATCTGATGCTCAGCAGACAGCGCAGCTCAACAGAATTGAGACCCTCTGTTCTGACAACAAAAAGGCTGTTGACAGCTTTATTCAATTGGATAAAGACCGATACAATAAGCTGATCCAACTTGAAAGCCATACTCAGACCATAGCTAATGATGTTGAGAAACAGAAGAAGCTTCTTGACTCCCTGGCTGAAGTTACCACTGTTATTCCTACTGCTATCGAAGACTTAGGCAAAGCTCATGCCTCTGAATTTGAGAAAATCAGCCTCCTTCTTCAAGATCTGAATGATGCCAAAAGGGGGGAAGAGAACCCTCAGTCTCAGCACCCCTCTCAACAGTTGCAGCTTGCCAGAACAACTCCAGGCCCTACACCTGACCCTACACCTTACTTTGAACAGCTTAGACTCAAGAAGAAAGCTGTTACTGGCTCCTCTGCACAGCCATCTATTCCCGCCCCTCTGAAGAAAGGTACTAAGAAGAAGGCCCTGACCTTCTTAGATTGGAGAAAGGAAGGCTCTCTGAAGATCACAAAAGAGCAATTTGAAGAAATGAAGCAAAAGATGACTCCCACACAGCAGCAACATCTCTATCTTGACAATGATGGCCGTGTGAAAGTCAGATATGGCGGATCCTTAGAAGAAGCAGAATACTGGTTTAAGAAGAACGTCCTCCCTGGGAAAGATGTCCATGAAGGTATTCTAAACTATCTAAACTGCAAACTCCCCCCTATCTGGGCCTCATGTCAGACACCTGGAAACCTCAGTGGGATCAGAGTAGAAGTGAATAAAGAATTGAAAAGGCTACAAGAACTGGAAGATGAAGCTATGGCTGCGGCAACAAGGGAAAATCTGTAAGGAAATACCCTTGTAATCCTTATGTCAATAAAAGAACTTCTATGCCTTTCACTTTGTAAGGCAATTCATTCCTACCTGTTCTTAATTTCCTTTATGCATGTTTATTTTCTCTATTTTTATTGCTATCTGTATGTACCGTACTCTTACTATTTTCCTATGCTAAGATGCTCACCAAGATTCTAATGAAAATGTTATACTTTAAATCTTTTATGGTGAAGGCACTTCTCTGGAAATAGTTAAAGGATTTTGGCATCATCAAAAAGGGGGAAATTGTAAGGAATAATTGTATTTAGATTTTGATGATGCTAGATTAATTAGAACTTTAGAGTACCCCCATTAGAATTAATGTATTAGAATTTTTCTAAGTATAAACTTTTTAGAATAGTCGACAAACAGAAGACCCTCAAGCCCTCTGATTAGATGTTTGCATCTCAGAAGTACTCAAGATATTCTGGACAGAAAGACCTCATGGCCCTCTGTGATCTGCCCCTCTGTCAACTAATTCCAATAGAAGTGCTCAAGACCTTCTCCTGTTACCCTTCGGTTAAGAACATCAGAAGGCCTAACACTTAGAGATTTACTGAATCCAACTATGCCGGTAAAATCAACGGAAGATTCTCTCAACGGCTAGCTCATACTCAACGGAAATGCTACAGGACTGCATTTAATGCTCATTTAATGAGCTTCATACTCCGAAGAGTAAAAGCTAATGATTGACCGAGATTCTTGGAAAGCCTATCCCAAAATAGCAAGCCGCCAAACTTGTGGGCCCAGCCGGTCAACTCAAACTGTACGCGCATTTAATACAGTTGTCTCCTCCTCCAACGGGAAGACAACCTCAGTATAAAAGATACTATTCGAAGAACAACCGAGTAACTTTTGCCACAACGTGTGCTCTAATTACAAAAAGCCTTCTTAAGATTCAACACTCCAACTCCATCAACAAGAAAGGCCTACGTTGGGAAGATCATAAGTTCATATATTCTTCATCACCAACAAGGGCGAAGTTCCTATTGTTCTTCAACTCTTCAAGCACCTCATTACAAATCTATTGTGACGAAGCAAGTTGGAGAAAACTCTGTTTTCAACAGAACATCTTCTTCAAGGAGACTCAGTGAAACAAGACCAGTCTTAAAGGAAGCAAAGAAGTGCATCCCAGGAGACATCTAGACTTTAAGAAGACGTGGAGAGCTTCTTGAGTTCTAGGGACTAAGGCGTTGTAATCGTTGTTTTACAAGCTTAGTGGAACAGTGGATTAGAGGAACGAGTTGTTCCTTGAACCACTATAAAAATCCCTGGTGTCATTTACTTACTGCTTTTATTTCCTGCAAACTGATTAACTCCAAAGAAGTGGTATCTGTGTTCAGCAGAACACCTCTGGTGAGTTAACAGAAGGTCAAGTGCCTTTACTCCTCTGTGAGGCTATCCCGACAGAACACCTACCAGAAGACCTCCGCTGCCAGTCTGTTCTCAACAGAACAGGCTATTCTGTTTACCTTGGTACTTGAGTTGAAAAAGTCAAAAACCATAACAGTCTATTCACCCCCCATCTAGACTGTTACCTCATTAACCGGGACCAACACTTAAGAATCTTGAAAATATGGGTTCCCGATTCTGACTTGATAAGCTCGTATCTGGAGGGTTTATTACATGTAGGAAAGCCAGTAATGGCTCCAGCTACAGGTCCAGAATTAATTGACAATTTCTCTTTACGTTCCTCGTCGCCATAGGTTTGCGAATCTTCCAAGGAAGGTTTCTTCTGAGTGACCAATTCCTGCTGCGACTCTGGTAACTCAGATAGCGATTGCCAACTGGGGTCTTCTGTTCGTGTAGAAACCATAGTTCCGGAAGAAATTTCTTGCGAACTTGGAGGAGCGACTTGATACGAAGAACGCGAACTGTGGGATTGGACTGACAAGGAGGAATATTCTCCTCTCAATCGAGTCTTTCTTGGACTCGAGTTGATCGCAGGTGAGTAAGTCTGCGAAGGGTAAGAAGAAGTTCGCGATTGCGAACTCAAAGAAACAGATCGCGATTCAGTCTGCGAACTGGTGAGCGATGTCAGGTAGCGGAAGAGTCTTCCTCGATAGATCTGTCGGTCCTCTGCTCCTCTGCTTTTCTGATTCCTCAGAACTCGCTGAGTGTCGCGACTGTTTATGGTGTGAAGTTCGATGTGAGTTGTGATGCGATGAAGTTGATGTGTGCGATCTACTTCGCGATCGACTTTTGTCTCGCACATCCAGTCTTGTAAGAACTTGTAACGCCCCTCTCAGGGTTAAAGGATACGTTACACTAACTTACTACTTTTACAAATAAACTGTAATATAACGGCCGTCTATTTAAGAAAAATAGCCCTGATAAAATTTCAAAAGTAACTAATACAACTCCAGATAAAAATTTAATAAAATATAGTCACTATCAGCAAATGTGATAACCACCTGCATCCAGGAATTTACTGAACTTCAAATCCTTAAATAAAAAATAAAGTAATATTTATCACTTTATTATAACACTGAAATACTGAAAACAAAATAATATCTAGCTAGAAGCCGCCAAGGTCGTTCCCGTTAACTCATCTTGGCACGCGTTCCACTCTCTCATCATCTTCCTCGGCCTGGGCCTTACCCTTAGCTTTAGTATCTGTACATGCGAAAAAAGAAAACTGATAAGCTTTACGCTTAGTAAGTCACTATGGATCCACAAAAATATGTAGAAGTCTATGCCAATTTATCAATAGATAAATTTAGGCTATAAGCATGCACTGAACAAATAACTAACACACAACTTCTCAAATACATTCTGAGGAGATCTCAAAACAAGAATATTTTCTAAAATAATTTCTCAGTAATGCTGGAGAGATCTCAAAATTTCTTTCTCAAAACATCTTTGTAAAACTTTCTGAAAGAGATCTCAAAAACAACTTTTTGTAAAACTTTCTGAAAGAGATCTCAAAAAACAACCCTCTGTAAAACTTTCTGAAAGAGATCTCAAAAACAACTTTCTGTGAAACTTTCTAAAGGAGATCTCAAAAACAACTTGCTATAAAACTTTCTGAAAGAGATCTCATTAAACTTTCTGAAAGAGATCTCATTAAACTTTCTGTATAACTCTTTGTGGCTAATTTTACTCTGTGGGCCCGTGATATGTACTCAAAGGCGCCAATCCGACAGCTCAGGGGAGCGACCCACTAAACATATCGGACTCTCTGAAACTGATAACTGATAACTCTGTAACTCTGTGGGAACTTGTTCCCGAGTACATATCACTTAATCTTTCACTTTAAATATTAGTTCTTTTTATGGTGACGTTTGGATAAAAACATCGTCAAATCTGAAAATAAAAGTACTGACAAAATCTTCACTATGCCAGATAAAACATAACTCAATACAACAATTAAAATAACTCAGCAAATAACTCACCAAGTTCACATAATAGCGAATAGACTAAAATGATCTATTAAAATCAACCAGACTTCTTTCTTTTATTTGGTTGAACAAACATGTACAGGTGGTAGTGAACTTACCTGAAGAAGCTGAACTCAAATTACTCAAATAAGTGTGGCACCTTGATAACGTCTTCTGATAAGCTCTTCTTTTAATCTTTATTGAATATAATATTAAAATTAAAAGTCATTATGCTAAGTATAAAAACTGAAACCGATTGTACTGTAAACCAAAACTCTGAAACTTAAACTCTTATCATTCTGCTTAAAATTGCCGACCAGATAATTAGTTCAATGGTCTTTTTGTTATCATACCCAAAATTAGTCATCTGTAAAAGGAATCGTGGGAAATTTGAAACAGCTATCCATAATGGATATTTAAAAGTTGATTGCAATTTACTGTTTCAGAAACAGTAGGGTTAGAACCAATCTAAAAAAAACTTTGAGTTTATCTTTAACAAAATGTTAAGCAAAACCCAATCCCAATAACCAAAATTAACAAGGTCTGGAACAATACATAGGAACAGAGCAGAAGGTATTGCCCAATTTAAAACTTCAAACATATGTGATGTCTATAGTTCACAGTTTCACACGTGAACAAAGAAACTGCCCATTATTTAAAATAGGAGGAATCCCATCATTACAAAAGAAACAAACTAAATAGGAATTGTAGAAGTGACGTACCAGACTCTTGGTTCCTATAAGGGAGATGGAAACTTTTCGTATAGGACGAAAGAATACTGAGCAGCGGCTACTTGGAGGAGAAAATAGACATGGAAAGGTTTAAGGTTTACTACTGAAAGGACTTACTAACCGACATATAAATTCCCTTCTAGGGTTTTGGCTAAAAATACTGATTCGGGCTGAGATAACTGATTTGGGCTTCCGAATAACTCCCACAAAAAAATTCCTTTAACACATTAAAAGTATTTTCTACTCCTATTTCAAATAAACTCATTTTAGCTTTAAAATATTACATATTTAGTCACTTAAAATTATTAGAGCTTACCGGTCAACGTTACCTACCGGAACAACACATGAACAAACAATAAATCACATTATTCATAAAATAAACTTATTTAACTGACTAAATAAAAATAAATATTAATGTAACTAGATCGCTAAAATCAGGGTGTTACAGAACTTCAGACATCATCTTCTCCAATTGATCCAATCTCGATTCCATCTTTGCGCGCGTCTATTCCATCGACAACGATCCACCTCTCTGATACCAATGTTAGACACAGTCACAAATCAAAGCTAAAAACAGTAAACCAACTCACAGATCTGATGAACAAAGATGGAAATAGACGTTTATTGATGATATAGGGGTAAATCGTAGGGTACATGGACTTCTTAGGCAACAGGGACTCTCAAGGCAACAATATATCCAAAGATTTATACTAACTCTCTAATATTATTCTTATTCTCATTTGTTAGTATTCTAAGTAGGTCCCTAACATATTTTCACAAAAAGCGGTCCTTTGATCAGTCAATATTTTTTTTTTAAAGTTTGAAGTGTTATCGGCTTCACGCTAGAGATTGGGGTTATATTCCATTGATTCTTTCCACGCACCAGACAACACCACAGGTGAAGAAGCCGCAAGTTTGGAGTTCATCCAGACTTCTGTTCGACTAGAAATCTCCAACTCGCGTGTGAGCCGCACAATCTCTTTCAGATAGATACCAAGATCAAATGAAGGAAAATAGATGTTTATTAAGAACATGAATGAAGAACCGAACAGAAACGATACAAGTTTAGGCACTTAGAGCAGCCTATCTCTCCAGAAATCCCAGCCCAGAGTCTAAAGTTTTTGCCTCCTTATTCTACTCCTCCAATCTCCTATTTAATCTTTTCCATTTGGGCTAGCCCAATACTATCTAATTCAGGGCCCAAACTTCTTTTATTGTACATTATTAAAACACTAATTATTCTTATTACTAGTATTATCTAGGTCTATCATTACTCCCCCTTTGACAACCACCTTGCCCTCAAGGTGGGGAGTAACTGAGTAAGAAACAGCCATGCCAGAACGCTTTATCCTTGCTCCTCTGCCTTCCCAGTACTTCAGCTCGGATAGTCTTCTTCGTTTTGCTATCCACTCAATCTCTTTGTCAACATAGTGATCCTTTTGGCCAAGGTTGTTATCTCCTTCACTCCCACAAGTCTGATCTCTTACCACATCTCCAATTGATAATACCAAGTCAGCTTCGGGATTGCAAGTCTCAGTCTTCACATCAGCAGCCCAGGATGGTAAGAAAGAACTCAGTACACTGCCACCAGGCCCACTCCATGTGCACAAGACTTCTCCCAGCAACTGCATCTATTGCCCTTCTTCCATTGTCTTCTGATTAAAAGCGTATTTGTACCTTACATAGTACAATATGATTGCTGCCTCAACTGCAGGTTTCCCACACTGTTTATTACCAAAGATCACATCAATCCAATGGTGAAAACTTGAGCTAACATATTCACTTTCAAAGGTCGACATGTGCTTGCTTATAACTCCTTTAAGAAAACCATTAACCCGTCGAAGGAGCACAAGATCACCTATTGGCTCTCCATCTTGTTTTGGACTTGGTGCTCCAACTGGTTTTGCAAGATCCCGGTAAGTAGATGATCTGATACCATGTTGAAATATAAACTAGAATGATATTAAAGATGGAGAGAAGGATTTTATGTGTATTTCATTGAAGGGTTAAGACCCTATAAATATAGATTACAAAGATAGAATATTCCTATAAAAGATGCTATACAATCATAATATCTATGGTATATTCCTAATATATTCTAAAGCATATTCTAATATACTTTCACATGATCAAAACCAGAGTTTCTAATGGACCCTCAGCCAGAACCCAAGGAGACACATGACACTCCGTTAACTCG